CTTGCCCCCGCCACAGAGACCTTCCCGACTGTAAGGTTAGATTCTCAAGGCGTGTGGGTCAGAGTCCGGGATCCTCCTGCAGAGCCCTCGTTTGCGCGTCGCGTGGTGCCCCCTCCGAGGGTGCAGCGCACCGCGCGCCAGGAGGACGCTGCAGAGGCACTATCCATTCCTGATCCGTACGATCTGCCAGAGGAAGCTTGGGTGAACCCAGCACCATATAGGGCAGGTTATAGTGGTGAGGGTTTCCCTTTAGGCGTTCCGCGGTTCGCCACATCGACACCTCATCCGAGGAAGAGGTCGTGCAGTACCGGGGTGCTGCCCGAGGCGCACCTGCAGAGCCCAGAGCTGCACCCCCAAAGCGGCCTTTCACACCAGTGAGGTTGTTGAGGCGGAGGTTGAGGAGACCGCGCCCGTGAGGCACAGGCGTCCCAGCAACCCGCCGGCACAGCGCCCGAGGGTTACCCTGATTCCTGCTGCGAAGGGCTCGGCCAGCGAGCGAACAGCAGCGGCACTTAGGATCAACAGACCGCCGCCGAAGCCACCCACAAAGCCAAGGCCAGCAGCGGCACGGTCGGTGAGGCCAACCTTGGAGGCAGACGAGGAGCCAGGCCCACGAGATCGCACCAGGACACCAAGGCGTGCAGACGCAGCCTCCGCAGGGGTGCTGCTAAAGCGCACCAGGGTGCAGGTAAGAGCGGCTCGTGGCCACCCAAGCGCAGGGCACCGTCCCACGACGAGGGTGCTGCTTCCGAGGGGGATATCCCGAGGTCTAGCGCGCCAGTCTCGCGAAGCGACCTTCCAAAGAAGGTGGCGGTGTGCCCAGCAATCCCTCGCAAGGTTCCTCCAGCGGATAAGTACGGGGTTAGGTATAAGGCTGCGCCGGCTTATCCACCAGGTTCTGTGCCACAAGCGCCCCCTCAATACAAGGGCCCGCCGCACGAGGTGTTTGTGAGGAACGTTGCTGGCAAGGAGGGTCCGGAGACCAGGTCCACAGGCAAGGCTCCGCCACCCCAGGTCACAGGCAACAGGCAGAAGCTCGCATACCACGCGTGGGCCCAGCAGCAGCGGGCGGAGGAAGAGGCCCAGGCCGCAGCCAGTGGCGCGGCAAGCTCCAGCAGAGTGCCGAGGGTGCTTGCAACGCGCACCGAAGCCACTGTGGTCTTCGACTGGCACAACGTGCTGGATAAGGCTTGGGTCGAGAATAGAGAAGCCGACTGGAATACCCGACGCGGTACCCACGGGTACTTTAAGCCTGCTTTCACAGAAGCCCTCAAGGACTTCGTGGTGGAGCACAGACCCATCTGCGTCGCGATCCTTTCGTTCTGCTCTCGCTCCTCTGCCGCGTGGTACGAAACCCACTTCCTCCGAGAGGCGGCCGATTGCTTAGTCAGGGACCTGCCCACATCTTCAAGAATTCGATACGGGCAGACGTTTCAACGCACGGGCCCTGACGGGAAAGCGCAACAACTGTCGCAGATCGAACCCCCAGCGTCGCTCATTATTGACGACAACAAGGCGATCTGCAAAGAGTGCCGCAAAACAGGCGCACTAGTTGTTCAGGCGGAAAGGGGGGGAGATATCGAGCAGATTCTCTACGAGCTCGACCAGGCCTCTAGACTTATCAAGAGGACCGGGCGCGATAATCTCCCCCGGGCGCGGCGGCTAGAACCGCGAGAGCTACTCTTTGAAGCGTAGCGCCCGAGGGTGCTGCCGCTGGCGCACCGGGCAAAGGCACAACCCTTCACCCAGTGCCCCGCGCGCCCCCGCCTCAGGCCGAACGAAGCCTCTCCAGGCTGACCCGTGCAGCGCCCGAGGGTGCTGCTTTAGCGCACCGGCCGAGAAGTCAGTGCACTAAGGGGTCCGGCCAAGCAACAGCAACCATCAACCCAGGCAGCGCCGAAGGGTGCTGCCATAGGCGCACCGGTTTTCGGTTTAGTGCCTTTGGGGTTTAGTGGTCTTGCGTGCTTTCTCCCAGCCTCCAGGGAGACCACCACAACAACAACAACCACAACTTCCAACTGCATTTGCCGTGCCCCGCTGCCCGACTTCCCACCTTAGTGGTTTAGGGCCTGCGGTTTTTAGGCACAGGTTTTATCAAGCAGAGCCGCCGCTCACCGCCGCGAACCTTTCCTTTTGCAGCGCCCGAGGGTGCTGCCGTTGGCGCACCGGGCTGCCTTTAGGCGGTTTAGGGCGTCACCGGTTTAGGTGGTGGGTCGTGCGTGCTCCCCCGTGCCTGGGGAAAC